TCATATTTGAATTGCAGAGAAGTCGAGGTGAGCACAAAACAGTAAAGTAAGAGGTACAGGTAAGTAGGGGCTAGAATGTATGGGATTATTAGACAGTTCAATTACTTTATACTTTTACACGTTACTACTACGATATTATATAAATGCATAATTGTGTTTTGATCCATATTCTGAGCAATCTCTTTCTGATATTGGAGGCTGATAACTAGTCTTTAGAAGCAGTAACGTATAACCTCTGGCAATGCAGTATATATACTGATATACAAATAAATAAAGATGCACATTTAGAGATTAAAAAGCGGCATAGGAAATAGAATGCGTAATTATACACTCGTTTCTAACCAGTGGCGTTTGATGTGCTTTTACGCGTTAAAGAACTTAAATATCATTATCTCGTGTCAAAGATTTTGTACATTATTAATAAAAAATAGTACAAAAATAATAGGTATGCAAATACCTTGTACCTTGCTGTGTGGTCCCGGCATAGAAAAGGCCACCCCTTCCTTTGCCGTGGGTGTCGTAACAGCGATTAAGAGAGGGCGAGGGATGGGCAGCAACGTCCCTATTAAAACATCTTCAAAGCCTAACTGTGATTGCCAATCCGCCTGCAAAGCATGGCAACTACTGGCAAGGGGAGGCTTATGTTCAGCAGTGGACAGTTAAAGGCTGATATAACATCATGATAGATATTATACCAAAATATATAAATATTGCTATTTTTTTATACAACTTTCTAAGTTGGCAAACAATCTGACGGTCCACCTGATGGAAAGTGGTAACCGTCGCCAATAGACATGAGCAGTACAATGGACATAACAGAGTATACTGTTTCGCCCATGATACGCCCCATGCGTTGCCATTCCTGAGGACTCAGGTGTTATTCCTCTGTAATATTGCTATTTACTAATCACCCCTACTTAGGACATAATATTCGCTCACTGGTTAGACAATTGTTTCGATGTGAAGTAGTGAATTCTAACCACGCATTGATAATTCATGTACTACAAAATACAGATACCATAACCGGAACGCTATATTGAGACTTATGATGAATTTTAATTGTACTTCTTATTATTTTAATTGAAGAATTGAATGAATTTTAATTGCATTTCTTAATATATTGAATTTCTAACTGAAATATGGTTAACTTTTGAATTATCTGCCAATTTTCAAAAACTATTACTAAACTAAAACATTATGTGAAAGACCTGTTATAGCAAATAAATTTATTATTCAATTTAATGTATTGAATTTAAAAGCATTCTAACTTAAGTATGGTTAACTTTTGAATTATCTGCCAATTTTCAAAAACTATTACTAAACTAAAACATTATGTGAAAGACCTGTTATAGCAAATAAATATATTATTCAGTATAATTCTTATTACGTTATTACTGTGATAGTTTGAAGTTTGTTGATAAAAGGTACCTGTTAGGAAACTACACACTCAAAATAATGCTATATAGTTGTTAGTTTTGTCCTATGTTACGATTAATATTTTACTTTTCGAGCTTTATTTATCAACCGACTCCAAAAAAAAGAGGTTTTCAATTCGGGTGTATGTTTTTATGTTTATTATCTCGTAAATTATAAACCTATTTGGATTTTTTTTTACAGACTGGTTTTTTGGGTAATTTTATTAAAATCGGTTCAGTAATTGAGTTTTAAAATCAACATAACTAATTTGCTACAAATGAAATCAGCATTTTTTGTGGAACAGAATCATTGAAAAGTACAAAAAATTATTTATTTATTTTAGACTCTGAAATAATGTTTATAAACTGAAATATATTTGTACATATTCTTTAACTTTACAATATAGCTATTTAAATAGCTCTGATATATTTTTGAGATTGTACATATATATTTTTTTTGTAATTGCTACTTATTGCTATTTCGTAGAGATTATATCGTGAAACGGAACATACATAAATTCAAATATTTTATGAAATCATTAAACTGGCAAATTTATCAATTCACACTTATAATTTACGTAAAAATTCTATAATAATATTTTAATGACGAAAGAATTTTTTTTGTCTTATCGCAGCAGTAATCATATCCTATAAAATATTTGATCTTAAACCAAAGTAAAACCTGTTATTTTGGAGGACTATCTTTAGATTAAAGATCGTCGATAGTTTAGTGATAAACTTTATTTTGTAATAAGCATTACTTGGAGGGAAAGGGATTGGTAATGGGGTCTAAACATCCCCATTGATAACAATATGTCTTATCAGGTCGAGCTGCTCTCGGTTCCCCCTGGAAAATCTTTGTCGCACTTTATTTATGTACACTTTGCTTATGTACTCTAAATATTAATAGTTGTAGCACTTCAGCTACCAGCTAACAACATGTTTTCTAACAGCATTGGGTTGACTGGAAGAGATCTCTGTCAGAGATATGTAAGTCCACCCTTGCTCACAATATATATAAATGCATTAACAATGTAATTTACAAGTGCAATAAAGAATATATAATTTTTGGATTTGTCATGGTGATTTTAATCCATACCTATTATCTGTCACTGGTGCCCCACCAGCGTAATAGGGCAACAATTTCAACGTCACTCAATAAAAAAAAACAAGGATTGCTTTAGTCCATTGTCTATTCCAGTGCTAACTTTAGTATCTTTAATATGCATTTTGTAATAAGAAGAATTAATTCAATGATCTCAAAACAAACAATGATCGGATGTAATTCTAGGAATGACTTAGCAACTGATACTATCTGTTATGGACAGCAATTGCATCATCATATTTCTTAGTAACAGCCTAAATATGATACTTTATTCATATTAAATTACTTATTAGTTAGCTATTTATTAATTAATAGGAGAATTGTGACGATGTCAACTTTGTCAGACAATGAAGAGAAAATGTGAGAATGGAGTTAGGTAAGTTTATAGAAATAAAATAATCTTTATAAACTGACCTACCTTCATTTTCAGGGGGTGAATGCGGAAAGGGATTGATACTCATAAGATCTAACAGCCCTATTGCTAGCAGTATACCCTGCCAAGTCGACCTCCATGCGGTTCCCCCTGGAAACCATTGTGGTTAATTATATAGAGGAATGGTTCGTTTGTTTGTAATGAATAAACTCAAAACTCTCCAACACATTTTTAATTTTTTTATTTTACATATAAAAAGGTACATTATATGTGAGTAATATAGGCCATATTTTATTTTCAAAACATTAGAAATTCGTATGAAAATTACGACAGTGTCACCCAAAATATTTGCCCATTAAAGCAAACATTTAAATACAGTTCCATATATATATAATTTAAGTATTTTATATTCATTACTATTAAATATTTATAATTTATTTATCTATCTACCCGTGCGAAGCCGAGATGCATCGATAGTACATAGTCAAATTAAGAGATCTTACAGGTCCTCGATTCAGGATCTCAAAACAAATAAATACTTATGGTAAGTATCTGGTAATTATATTTATTAAATATAAAGATAACCACCGAAACTCTTAATAGTTTTATAAATGCAGTTGTCTTCCAAATGAAAAAATAGTTAACTATTTTGCTTGAGGATGTCTACTACTCCATAGTTTGTTTACCTGACTAACCAAGGGAGCTGACATAGTTTTATTGCTTGGCCTCTAAAAATTTTTAATTTAGCGATGCAGAATCCTTATTTTTTGTGTTTCCTGCAATCGATGTATTGTAAAATAGCTACTTTAAAAGTTCGTAAAAAAAAAAGATTGTTTGATTGTAACAAAAGCGAAAATTGAAAAAATACTATAATTTTATATGCATTTTCCATCACGGACGGAAGATAGTAACGAATATTTGGTTGACTTTTCATTTATTAATGTTCTGTATCCAATAGGTGAATTTATATATACCTACATATGTCGTAAAAGATTACTCTAAATCTAATCTTTCCTACACAATGTTACTCCAAATCCTTGACTTATTATTACTAATGCCAGCATTTACGGAGCCAAATTAGTGGGCTGAGAAAATTTAAGTCATTGGCACGATAAATATAGTTAGTACATGTTGATAGTTTGTACTAGTAGTAATAAAATTAAATTATTACATAGTAATCTGTATTTTTTATATATATAATAGATATTTAGAAGGATAAGCAATCTAAAGGGTCAATGGACTGGTAATTTAGCTTTAAGAACAGACAGACGATGGTAAGAAAGGTTCTTGGTGGCGACCCCGTACAGGCAAACGCAGTGTAGGACGACCCCTATTAGATGGAGTGGCGACCTCAAATGCATTGCAGGATGCGAGTGGCAGTCAGTAGATGCAAGTGGCTCGGGACCATTTTATATAGCAGTCTATGGGAGAAGCCTATGTTCAACTGTGAACAGATAACGGCTGATATGGTGATGATGAATACCTATTATATTAATTTCTTAAGTTTCCGAGATGATCAATGTACAAGAAAATCTCTAAATATCCTACAATATGTACTTATTACACCGCCATACCTTTTTTTTTAAATTTCTTATAGGAAATTAAAAATATACATTCAAAAGTTAAAGGATAATTAAAAGAAAATATTGCAAAATAAGAATAGAAAAAATATTGACTATAGTGTCATTCTTGTTTTTTTTTCAGTCAGTGAAATCATTAAATCCGTATAACAGATTCCGTACAACCCGTAACATAGGCTTGAATAAGAAACACGATGACTGTGACGAAGCTGAAATTAAGATATGAAGATCAAACTTTAAAAATGTGAACTATAAAACATTTGTCTAGTCTATATGTAATCTATTATCAAAATTTGTTCTGCCTTAGTTTCGGTGTTTTGTTGAATAATATTTTGGATATTTATTTATATGGAAGGTAGCAATAGATTTTACTATTATCTAATGATGTCGCCATATTTATTGTAAGTCATAAGCAATGGCACTGTCACGGGCTCACGGGTGACCCTCTATGTAAACAATACGCTGAAGTCGTAATTGTATAACAATATATTTTTTATCGCGCTAACTGTGGCGTGCTTTAAACATGGCCGCGACCGGCGGCGCCATTCAGTACACCCGCAACCGGTGGCGAAGGCACGCCTCAACATAATGCAGCAATAACTTACGAAATTAATACTCAGTAAAATCGAGAAAAAAAACATATGTTTACAGATTCTTAAATTAAAAATTAACGACTTCTGTGTTTTTGTTTTATAATAAAAAAAAAGTGTTACGGCCGCGTTCGCATTAATTTATACTCATCAGCAACCGGCGTTCGAATTTCGAATTGGTCAAGGTCTGTTTCGTGTTTTGGCTTGTTGGTGCAGAATTGTGAATATTACAGCTAGACAGCGTACATCGGGTGAGTGACATCTTCAGGCATGCTAGGCTGTCCTGTCCCTACTTTATTTTTATACTTGTGAACGCGCCAATGCGCAGACGCAACCTATTTTTGGTTCAAGCGATGTTCGCACCTATGTTCTAAACTACATTCTCAAGTTACAAAATAGGTAGTATCAATTCGTGAAAGTTGAAAAAAAAATACTGCACGTGACTAATATGACTATGTGGATATTATGCATAAAACGTGTTGGAATTAATACTAGTTTAGTAGAATCGATATTTATTAAACGTTCTTATGCCTACATTTCCGGATCTCTGACCTCGAATTTTTCTGAATTTGTCTCATATAACATACAAAGTAAAATGCAGTAATAAGAATTACACATGTAGCACAATCAAAATTCGCTAATGAGTTCGTTCACATCGAAAACAGATAAGAATTTAAAACCGATGCAAGTAATATGACAATTTACAAGATGCAATAAAAATTATTAGGACACTTAGTAAAAAAAGTTATTCAATTTTAATTAATTGCACAAATACCCACCTAAGTAGAAAAAAAAAATTATAAAACTGCCTTAGTTGCTTAGTATCTATTGGTATATTAATTTTTTCTTCAAAATAAAAATAATTTGGTTTATTATTTCTTTTTTCATACAGATTATTATCGTAAAAAATTCACGTGCATATTATTGTAATTGCGCGCCTTGCATTTAGTAGTTCAGTAACAAGTAAGAATGTGCCTATGTCAAATTTAAGGCAATTAAACGATTACTTAATGTCAAAATAATAATGCGGACTTATACTACTATAAATATTATAATAATTTGCACTATGTAATTGATATGTTCGAATTAGATTCATTTTTTTGTTACACTTGACATATATAGTATATAAAAATTTTCTCCGCAAAACAATGCCTTCGGTCATGACAAAATCCAAACAAAAGTAAACCTATTGTATAAATAATTATCGTAATCGGTTTAACATTAACGAAGATATCGCATAACATAAAAAAATAATAATAACAGAACATTTTTTGAAGTTCTTATGAAAACTAATTAGTTTCAATATTTGGGCGGTATTTTATCGGCAGCTCATTGCACTTTCCACGACATTTCAAATGCATGGCTAACGACCCACTCTACGTCTACTATGAAGATATAAATAAACTTTAAAATAATTATAGATGCCAGTGGAAAGTCACCGCGCGACACCCGATGCGATAAGTTCATTAATAAATAATATTTTCATAACATGACACTCGCATTGTTTTGATTATTTATTGATGTAGTGAATGACCTTTTTTATAAAGGCTTGTTTACTCGATTGCCAAAGAAAAAAGAGTGATGATTTACGGGTGTATTACTAATATTACAAAGTTGAAAGTTTAGTTTGCACTTGAACGGCTGAACCATTTCTCATGTAATTTAACATATTATGTATATATGTATAACAGGTAAAAAAATGCAAACACTTTTTTTGACGGTCACGGGAATTAATCCGCGAGCACAATTAAGTTTTTATTTTATCAACTTTTTAATTCAACTATTTTTTTCTTTTCTTTCTTTTTTTTTTTTAATTAGACATCAAGTTTAAATAAAATCGTAAAAGACAAAGAAATAACATGAAAACATATTCAATCTCTTTGTCATGCCCTTATTTATAGCAAGTTCCACGATTAATGTAAAATTTCTTTACGATTGAGATAATAAACAAATACAAAAACTTATTTCCATGTTTATAGATATATTATAGTAAATATATTTATTAGAAGTATCCATTCCCAGCTTCGTCAAAGTTACAAACTTTTTCAGATTACATGAGGTCACAAAACAGGCTAAATTAAATTACAAGTAAAAAACATATTATTTTAAAAATAAATATACATTGAAAAAAAGTCAGGGCTCTAGATTAATGTTCTAGAGGCAGACTTTATTTATACAAAAGCGTACAGCATCTGAATTTTTGTTTAATTCGTAATTTTGCGCGAAGTAGTAGGTAATGCTTTCATGACTGAGTTTCGGGTATTTAAATGTACTGCTATATTTCATTCTTCTACTCGAAACTGAGTCATGTAAGCACTGCTATATAAGGCCTTGTGCCTATATGTTTATATATACTGGATATATCCAGTATATATAAACATATAGGCACAAGGGAATGTTAAGGCAATGTGCCTCCATATATTATTGGGTATTACCAATAATATATGGAGCACATTGCCTTAACATTCAAAAAAAGCAACGCATAAGAAGTTTGAGGGGTACAATGAACATCACAATATAATCTATGGTGGTAATAAAAAATTATGTGTAATGTTGTTTTGTTAAAAAAAATAGTAGGTAATTCAGTATATACTTTGTAATCCACTTATTGCGTATAAACCTTGAAAGGAAAAGAAACGAGTTTAGTGTCAAGTGAAGGTGCTAAACACACAAATGTCGAACGCTTTTTTTAATCTACGCAGCGCATTTTTTGCATGGCTTCAAGCTATTTGCTTATAATTAATTCTAGATTGTAGTAAGATATAACATACGTGTTTTTAAGATATATGCGCCATATTAAAAAATATAAATATAGCGTAAATTTAAAATTCGAATGTAATGTATGTCTATGAAGTAGATAGCACATATAATATCAAGGTCCTCTTAGATGGTTTTTAAATTGTCATACACATAGGATCATATCTACTGATCTAGAATCATCATTAGTTATTTGTTATAATTCAATATCACCTAGACAGTGTAAAAGGCGGACTTAACATCATGTAGTACTATCCAGACCTAGAAAAGCATTATATTAATTTAGTTATTTACCAACTTTTAACAAAATGTAATAATAATAAAAATTATAAAATATCTTGTGTTATTTTTATATTCTATTTATTGATCTTCTATTTATATTATTAATATAATAAAATTATAGCTGGAAATGTACTGACATGAGAGATATTTAAAAATATTTAATGCAAAGGGTTTTATACGAATAATAAAAATCAAAAGTATATTTTTTAGAAATTTTGTCTGTCTGTAAGTTTGTACCGGCATCAACTACAGGCAAAAACTACAGCGCCAAATTGAATGCGGTTTCCACAGTTGTGTACTAACTTAAAAGCTAAATGTTTGTATTTATGTTTTAAACGTCATCTGTAGGCAAAAGCTGATTAATAATATAACCATACTCTTATAAAGGCTATGTGTAACGTGACACATTAAAACAGCGTGTTTAATTTCATCTCGGTAACACGAACGCCTTCGTATCTATCATTTAAGATAGTAAACTGACCTATTAAGATAAATAAAGATTATTATGATGCAATTTGTTGATCTCAGATTTTCACACACAGTAAAATAAATAGATATACATATGTTGCGCCAAAAACAGCTACTTCTATATTATTTAAATTAACATTAATTATTTCACTATTTTTATATTAAATTTAACTGAACGCGTGGATAGATGGCAAGAAATATCTTTTTTTTATACCACTGAAGTGGCAAACAAACATACGGCCCACCTGATGGTAAGCGGTTACCGCAACCTATGAACGTCTGCAATTCCAGGGGTATTACGCGCGCGTTACCATTATCTTGCCATCTATCGATGCTTTTCGACGAAATATCGTAGACATATTAACATTTTGTTATTCGATTTGAAATATTTGGAACATATGATAGGGAATAGTTTTTTTTTGTTTTATACAAATAGTATGGCAGACAACCTGAAGGCCCACCTGATGGAGAGTGATAATCGTCGCCTATAGCCATGAGCAGTACCATGAATATAACAGTATACTGTTTCGCCCATAATACCCCCCAGGCGTTGTCATTCTTGAGGACTCAGATGTTATTCCTCCATACCCAGTAAATTCACGCCATATCCCACCCTTCAAACCGAAACACAGCCATGCAAACACAACTGCTTTACGGTTGAAACACGAATAGGACAGAGGTAATCAAGCAAACGACTTTATCTATTAACAAGCAGATTTACTAAGTAACAATATTTGCTCTATAAAAAAAGACGGCGATTTTATTACTGCATTAATATAGGACCAAAACGAGAATGTAAAAAAGATTGTACAAGAAAATCATTAAAATCAATTCAAAATTGATGATGTAATTTCGTAGTAACTGCAAAAAAAAAATACCATTTTAAAATTAATTGATGCAGAATCCAAACTAATAGTGGACTCAAATTGGAATATAATTAAAAGAAAATATTTTTATAACATCATTCTATTTCATCGTATAATAAGAACCATTAACATTCCATAACTAGACACGGATTTTTATAGTATAAAAATCCATATCGTCATAGTCGTAGAATACTGACGGATCTGATAAATATTATATATAAAGATCCGTCGGTATTCTACGACTATGACGATATGTATGTTAGTTATTAACGTACTAACGTACGGATTTTAGTGTTGTATAAATTTTATACAATATTAAAATATGTTGTGACGTACACTGTTGTTGTAAAATTTGTCATCTATCCATGTCTTTGACTTATTATAGTATGTATATAGACAGGTTTTAACTATTATAGTAAATAATGAATTATTGATATCCTAACAATGTTAGAGAAATGTGAAAGTTTGAAGTTGGAGTTGATAGACGAACCATGACTGCATTAACACAAAGTTACTTTTATAATATTTAGAATGGCAAACTGGTCAACGACCGATCTAACGGAAAGTGGCAACCGTTGTCTATAGTAGGAAAACAAATTGTTAGTAATAGGATTTAACAGTTGTATTCCTATTAGGACAACTTCAAGCGCTTTTTCGCGAAATCTAACGTGGTTGACTATATATTCCATGCTTATTTATTAAAAAAAATCCTACAGATAGAAATAGCGCCTCCTCATGCGTTGCCATTCCTAATGACTATGTTCTTACGCCTCGACACCCTGTAATTTCATAACCATACCCCACCCTTCAAACCGAAACAGAACCATTCAAGTTCAATCGTTTCATGGCAGAAACCAGATATACCGATAGCGAGGGCT